TATATATATATATATATATATATATATATATATATACATACACATAGTGTTTTGTAGGCTAAGAAATATTTTTTTTTTCTTCATTAAGTTTTTCTTTTTTTTAATTTTTTTTTTCTTTTTTTTTTTTTTATTTTATTTTTTCTTTTTAGTTACATTTTGTTAACTCCGTGTCCCAGCTGTATCCCGCTCCCTCATTCCCTCCCCAACCCCACACTCCCTCCCTGGTCTCCTCCCTGCCCCTTTCCAAGTCCCCTGATAGGGGAGGACCTCCTCCCCTTTCATCTGTCCCTGTTTTATCAGGTATCTTCAGGGCTGGCTGCAAAGTCCTCCTCTGTGGCCTAACAGACTGCTCCTCCCCTGGGGGGAGGTGTCAAACAGCCTGCCCTTGAGATCCTGTTAGAAATAGTCCGTGTCCCCCTTACTTTGGAAAACTACTTGGTTACTGAGCTACCACAGGCCACATCCGAGCAGAAGTTCTAGGTTATATCCATAGATGGTCCTTGGTTGAGTTTCAGTCTCAGAAAAGACCCTGTGCCCAGATATATTTGGTCCTTGTAGAGCTCCTATCCTTTCCATATCATACTAACTTCCCTTCTTTCATATGATTCCCTGCACTCTGCCGAGGGTTTGGTTATGAGTCTTAGTGTCTGCTTTGAAACACTGCTAGGTAGAGTCTTTCAGATGCCTTTTGTGGTAGACTCCTGTCATAAGTTCAAGGCACATCCCATTTGTCTTTCTAAATGAGGATTAATCACCTTCGCCTGTGTCCACTTTCTTGATTATCTTCTTTAGGTGTGTAGATTTCATTATGTTTATCATGTCTTGTAGGTCTATATAAGCGAGTATATACCAAGTTTGTCTTTCTCCTTCTGGGATACTTCACTCAGAATGATCTTTTCTAGATCCCACCACTTGCCTGCAAATTTCATGATTTCCTCCTTTTTGATTGCTGAGTAGTATTCCATTGTGTAAAAATACCACAATTTCTGTATCCATTCCTCCGTTGATGGACATCTGGGTTGTTTCCAAGTTCTGGCTATTACAAATAAAGCTGCTACGAACATGGTTGAACAAATGTCCTTGTTGTGTACTTGAGCAAATTTTGGGTATATACCTAGGAGTGGTATAGCTGGGTCTTGAGGTAGCACTACTCCTAGTTGTCTGAGAAAGCGCCAGATTGACTTCCAGAGTGGTTGAACCAGTTTACATTCCCACCAGCAATGGAGGAGGGTTCCCTTTTCTCCACAACCTCTCCAGCATGTGCTATCACTTGAGTTTTTCATCTTGGCCATTCTGATGGGTGTAAGGTGAAATCTCAGGGTCGTTTTGATTTGCATTTCCCTAATGGCTAATGAGGTTGAGCATTTCTTTAAGTGTTTCTCTGCCATTCGATGTTCCTCTTTCGAGAATTCTCTGTTTAGCTCTGTTCCCCATTTTTTAATTGGATTACTTGGTTTGTTGCTTTTCTGCTTCTTTAGTTCTTTATATATACTTGATATTAGCCCTCTGTCAGATAAAGGGTTGGTGAAGATTCTTTCCCAATCTGTAGGCTGTCTATTTGTTTTGATGACAGTGTCTTTTGCTTTACAGAAGCTTTTCAGTTTCATGAGGTCCCATTTATTGATTGTTGCTCTTAGAGCCTGTGCTGTTGGTGTTCTGTTCAGGAAGTTGTCTCCTGTGCCAATGAGTTCTAGGCTGTTTCCCACTTTTTTTTCCAGCTGATTTAGAGTATCTGGTTTTATGTTGAGGTCCTTGATCCACTTGGACTTTAGTTTTGTGCAGGGTGATAAATATGGGTCTATTTTCATTTTTCTGCATGTAGACATCCAGTTGGTCCAGCACCATTTGTTGAAGATGCTGTCTTTTTTCCATTGAATGGATTTGGCTTCTTTGTCAAATATTGAGTATTCATAGGTGTGTGGGTTTATTTCTGGGTCTTCTATGCGATTCCATTGATCCTCCTTTCTGTTTCTATGCCAATACCATGCAGTTTTTATTACTGTTGCCCTGTAGTACAGCTTGAGATCGGGAATGGAGATACCTCCAGATGATCTGTTGTTGTACAGAATTGTTTTGGAGATTCTGGGTTTTTTGTTTCTCCATATGAAGCTGAGAATCTTTTTTTCAAGGTCTGTAAAGAATTGAGTTGGTATTTTGATGGGAATTGCATTGAATCTGTAAATTGCTTTTGGCAGGATGGCCATTTTCACAATGTTAATCCTACCAATCCATGAGCACGGGAGATCTTTCCATCTTCTGAGATCTTCTTCAATTTCTTTCTTCAAAGACTTGAAGTTTTTCTCAAACAGGTCTTTCACTTGCTTGGTTAGAGTCACACCAAGGTACTTTATGTTATTAGTGGCTATTGTGAAGGGTGTTGTTTCCCTAATTTCTTTCTCGGCCTTTTTGTCTTTGGTATACAAGAGGGCTTCTGATTTTTTTGAGTTGATTTTGTATCCTGCCACTTTGCTGAAGGTGTTTATCAGCTGAAGAAGTTCTCTGGTTGAATCTTTGGGTTCGCTCATGTATACTATCATATCATCTGCAAATAGTGACACTTTGACCTCTTCCTTTCCGATTTGTATCCCCTTGATCTCCTTTAGTTGTCTTATTGCTCTGGCTAGGACTTCAAGTACAATGTTAAAGAGATATGGAGAGAGTGGGCAGCCTTGTCTTGTCCCTGATTTCAGTGGGATTGCTTTAAGTTTCTCTCCATTGAGTTTGATGTTGGCTATAGGCTTGCTGTATATTGCCTTTACTATCTTTAGGTATGTGCCTTGTATCCCTGATCTCTCCAAGACTTTAAACATAAATGGGTGTTGGACTTTGTCAAATGCTTTTTCAGCATCTAAGGAGATGATCATGTGGTTTTTCTCCTTCATTTTGTTTATGTGGTGGATTACATTGATGGATTTCCGTATGTTGAACCACCCTTGCATTCCTGGGATGAAGCCTACTTGATCATGGTGGATGATATCTTTGATGTGTTCTTGGATTCGGTTTGCAAGTATTTTATTGAGTATTTTTGCATCAATGTTCATAAGAGAGATAGGTCTGAAGTTCTCTTTTTTGGTTGGATCTTTGTGTGGTTTAGGTATCAAAGTGACTGTGGCTTCATAGAATGAGTTTGGTAGTGTTCCTTCTGTTTCTATTTTATGGAATAGTTTGAGGAGAATTGGTGTTAGTACTTCTTTGAAGGTCTTGTAGAATTCTGCGCTGAAGCCATCTGGTCCAGGGCTTTTTTTGGAGGGGAGACTGTTAATGACTGCTTCAATTTCCTTGGGAGATATAGGACTATTCAGTCTTTCTACCTGATCTTGACTTAATTTTGGTAGATGGAATCTGTCAAGAAAGTTATCCATTTCATTTAGATTTTCAAATTTTGTGCCATATAGGCTTTTGTAGTATGACCTAATAATCGTTTGGATTTCCTCAGTGTCTGTAGTTATGTCCCCATTTTCCTGTCTGATTTTGCTGATTTGTATGGTTTCTCTCTGCTTTTTAGTTAGTTTGGCTAAGGGTTTGTCTATCTTGTTGATTTTCTCAAAGAACCAGCTTTTTGTTTCATTGATTCTTTGGATAATTTTATTTGTTTCTAATTGATTGATTTCTGCCCTTAGTTTGATTATTTCCAGCCGTCTGCTCCTCTTGGGTGTATCTGCTTCTTTTTTTTTCTAGGTTTTTCAGTTGGGCCATTAAGTTGTTTGTATGTGATGTTACGGATTTCTTCTTGTAGGCACTTAGTGCTATAAATTTTCCTCTGAGCACTGCTTTCAATGTGTCCCATAAATTTGGGTATGTTGTGCCTTCATTTTCATTGAATTCTAGAAAGTCTTTAATTTCTTTCTTTATTTCTTCCTTGACCCAGCTGTCATTGAGTAGTAAGTTGTTCAGTTTCCATGTGCGTGTCGGCTTTTTGTTGTTTCTGTTGTTGTTGATGTCCAGCTTTAGTCCATGGTGGTCAGATAGTATACAAGGGATTATTTCAATCCTTTTGTATCTGTTGAGGCTTGCTTTGTGACCAACTATATGGTCTATTTTGGAGAAGGTTCCGTGTGGTGCTGAAAAGAAGGTGTACTCTTTTGAGTTTGGGTGAAAAGATCTGTAGACATCTATTAGGTCCATTTGATTTAGGGATTCTGTGAGTGCTTTTATTTCCCTATTTGGTGTCTGTCTGGTTGATCTGTCCCTTGATGAGAGTGGGGTGTTGAAGTCTCCCACTATTAAGGTATTAGGATCAATGTATGATTTAAGCTTTAATATTGTTTCATTTACGAATGTAGGTGCTCTTGTATTTGGGGCATAGATATTCAAAATTGTGATGTCCTCTTGTTGGATTTTTCCTTTGATGAGAATATAGTGGCCCTCCTTATCTTTTTTGATTAACTTGGGTTGAAAGTCTATTTTATTAGATATTAGGATGGCTACTCCAGCTTGTTTTCTGGAACCATTTGCTTGAAAAACATTTTTCCAGCCCTTTACTCTGAGGTAGTGTTTATCTTTGTTGCATAGGTGTGTTTCTTGGATGCAACAGAATGTTGGGTCCTGTTTCCGTAACCATTCTGTTAGCCTGTGTCTTTTTATTGGTGAGTTGAGTCCATTAATATTGATAGATAATATTGACCAATGCATGTTAGTTCCTTTTGTAATGGAGTCGATGATCTTACCTTGTTTCATTGCTTGTTTTCTTTTCATTTTTGTTGGGATGTTATCTGTATGCCCTGTTTTCTTGGGTGAATTCGTTTTCGTTGGATTGGAGTTTTCCTTCTAGTATCTTCTGTAGGGTTGGTTTGCTGTATAGATATTGCGTAAATTTAGTTTTGTCATGGAATATTTTGTTTTCTCCATCTATGTTGATTGAAAGCTTTGCAGGGTATAGTAGTCTCGGTTGACATTTATGATCTCTTAGAGTCTCCATGATGCTTGCCCAGGCCCTTCTGGCTTTCATAGTTTCTGATGAGAAGTCTGGTGTGATTCTGATAGGTCTACCTTCATATGTTACTTGGCCTTTTTCCCTTGCTGCTTTTAATATCTTTTCTTTGTTCTGTAGATTTAGTGTTTTGACTATGATGTGACGTGATGTGTTTCTTTTCTGGTCTAGTCTATTTGGTGTTCTGTAGGCCTCTTGTATATTTATGGACATCTCTTTCTTTAAGTTGGGAAAATTTTCTTCTATGATTTTTTTGAAAATATTTTCTGGACCTTGGAGCCTGGAGTCTTCTTTTTCATCAATTCCTATTATTCTTAGATTTTGTCTTTTCATAGCATCCTTGATTTCTTGGATATTTTGTGATTGGAATTTTTCTGATTTTACTTTTTCTTTGAGAGAAGTATCAATTTCTGCAAGTGTGTCTTCAGCTCCAGAGATTCTCTCTTCCATCTCTTGTATTCTGTTGGTGATGCTTACTTTTGTGGTTCCTGATCTTTTCTCCAAGTTCTCCAGCTCAAGAGTTTTCTCATTTTGTGTTTTCTTTATTGATTCTAATTCTGTTTTCATGCCTTGCACCATTTCTTTTATGTGTTTGAATTTGGATTCCTGTCTCTCTACGATGGACTCTATTTCTTTGTTCATTTCCTTTTTGTATGCCACTAATTTTTTCTCTACTTGTGCCTCTATTTGTTTGGCTATGTTTGCCTGTGTTTCTTTAAGGGTTTTGTCTATTTCTTCTTTCTTTACCTCCAATTGACTGGCCAACTCTTTGAAAGATTTGTTCATTTCCTCCTTATAAGCCTCAAATAATTGAGCAAGCATGGCTTTAAGGTCATTTTCCTGTGCTTCTGATGAATTGGAGTATCCATCGATTTTGGGGTTTGCTGGTGAAGTCATGATGTCCTGATTTATGTTGGAAGTGTTCTTTCGCCTACCCCTGGCCATTGGCTTGTCTGAGACCTTCCCTGTTTGTTTTTGGATTCTGCCGATCAGACTGGTACTGTCTCTCTCTCGAGTCTGGAGAATTCTTCAGGAAGTTGAGAGAGGTCCCGTGTCCTTAGCGTATGCTGAGGACTAGCTGTACCTGTGGGAGGAAAGTACGCAGGCGCAAACAGAGGCAAATGCAAGCGTGCGTGCGTGTGTGTGTATATGTGTGTGTGTGTGTAAGTGGGTGTGGGCGTGTGTCTCGAGGGACAGAGTGATGGCTAATGTTGAACCCTTGAGTGTGTGGGAGGGGCTCTGCAATGTATATGTCGCAGGTGCTAGTGATGATCGCAGCGCAATTTCTGGCATTAACTGCCTTAACTCCTCAATTAGACCCACAGAGCAGGAACTTCAATGTTCCAAGTGCCCCTCTGTTTCCCAAAGTGGGTATATGGGTGGGAGGGGGTTCGATGCCTGGCTTCTGTTTTAGCAGAACCCAGGATCAGTGGAGCTGCAGATTCTCAAGGGTGCACTCACTTACAGGCAGGACACTTGGCAGAGATCGGCGTATCTGGGCTCTCTGCTCTCTGGTTTGGCCCTGCTTCTTTGATGTGCTCCGCCAGTTCCGTGCTGCTGTCACTGCCAGGTTATGAGGTCTTGCTGCAGCTGGAGATTTCAGGGTGGTCACGTCAGTGGGAATCGGGGTAATCAGCCTTTCTGTTCTCTGGTTTGGCCCTGGTTAGTCTTAAACTGGAGGGCTGATGTGCCCCGCCAGCTCAGTGCTGCTCCGCCGCCAGGTTAGAAAGTCCCGCTGTAACTGGAGACTGGGTTGCTAGTCCAGATGCTTTCTGGGAAGTCCTGGGGTCTCTTTACTGTGCTCTCCAAGCTTCGGAGGCCCAGCGCCTGGTGTGTCTAGCTTGTATGGCGTTTTTGTCTGGTTTTGGTGATTATATAGCGAATTCTCTGTCACTGTGGGATTGGGCGGGCCGTACCAACAGTGATGGCGCTCCTGCGGAGCTAGTATGGCGTCTAGCAGACTCGGGCCCTGGGAGGATGGTGCAGCCGCCGCGAGTGAATCTGGGACTCCGAGACACAGTACTGCTGGCCTTTGCCGATAAAGGGCTTGGGGCTCCGCCTCAGTGGCTGCAGGCCCCAGGCAGTTAGGTCTGCGCTGAGAAAGGCGAGTCGGCTGTGCCTGTGCCGAGGAGGAGGGAGGTCTGGGGGAGGGGAGTGCCGAGAGATCAAAGGATCGTTTCTCACCTTCCCCAATCAAGTCCGTGGGTGACCCGAGATCAAGGTTTTCACCTCCTGCGATGTTCCCTGTTGTTTAGAAAGTCTCTCCGTTGTTTCCCTGGCTTCAGAAGTTCTTCCACACATCAGCTCAGAACTTTATCTCCTCCACAGCTCGGAAACTGTGTGTGCTAGTCGCCATCTTGGCCTTCTAGGCTAAGAAATATAAGGTCAAGATGCCATCAGATTTTCTGTGAGTCAAGAGTTGAATATTTGCCTAATAACCACACCTAATGTACTCTCTAGATCAGTGGTTCTCAATCTTCCCAATCCTGCAATCCTATAATACAGCGCCTTATATTGTGGTGGCTCCAAACCATAGAATTATTTTTGTTGCTACTTAATGACTGTAATTTTGCTACTTCTATGGATCATAATGTAGGTATATCATTTACAAGATGGTCTTCACAACCTTCATGAAAGGGTCCTTCCACCACCAAAGGAATCATGTTCCACAGCTCTAAATAAATGCACAAACAATGGCACTCTGGATTTTCTAAGGATATCAACGCTAAATACCATCACATTAAAGATTAGGTTTCAGAAAAGTAATTTGAGGTGTACAAGCTTTTAGAGTTCTCTGGCACCAACAACTGAAGATGTCAACTACTCAAAGAATATCTGTATGTATTGGCCTTGAATATGAAATCTCATCTATTTATTTCTAAATAGTGATTGGTCCATTCTTGTGGGAAGCAGAACTGATTATGTTACAAGGCTCATCAAGCTGAACAAGTAGTTAGAGCAGTGGCCAACAGGTCTGTGTGGGTTTCTCAGTGGTCTATCTTCTGATGTTTGTTCTTGTTTCTAGGTTTCTGCAGACCCTGAGTCCACACTTGCATGAGTATATCATATCTGTGAAGATGCTTGGCTGTGACACATATCTTGGAATCAGATGAGAAAGATAAGAGGTTCAGGCATCTCTACCAGAAGAGATTTCTGTCCCTGGCTCCCTGAGTGCTTCTTTGACCCCAAAATTCCATCATGCCTCACACACTGTTTTACTTTGCTGTAGTTTGGTTTGGGAACACTAGCTCTTTCATATCATATAAAAAGAAGCATTTGTGACTAGCTGTATTCCTGACTTTTATACATTCCCTGTGAAAACTCCTGACCCCTTGAGCAACCACTACTCTTTGACCTTCTACTTGATTAATTTTTATTCTCACCATACTACTGTTCTTAAGGTTTTCAAGCCCCACTAATACAGCATTGCTTGTATTTTGTGTTCTTTATAAATATGCCAAATTATGCTCAGTCTGCCTTTGTATTCTACCAAATCTGTGTGATGCAGGCTAGCTCTCTGACCCAAAGACTGTAGCTTGTATTTTCACTGAGTTGAACTCTTAATATCCCACTGGAATTTTCAATATAGAAATGTGGTTCATACATAATTTCAAAACATAGCACCTAGAGGTTTCCATGTCAGTCACTGAATTTGAAAACAACTGAGTGTCTCTACCCATTATATTTATAGACTATGTATTATGATTAGCAAATCCATTCATCTGTTTCTGTCTCAAAGTGGTAGGTGGCATAATCTTTTATGTGAAGCAGGTCTGGGTATGTCTATTAGCCCATTTCAAAGGGGCCAAATTGTGCCCAAACTGCCTGTGTTCCACCAAAACATTTGCTCCCTGTCATTAAGACACAGGGTTTTTGTATGAGGGATCCTGAGACTCTCAAACATCCTGGCCTCTGATCATCTTGTCCCAGAGGACAAGTTTTCTTGGGTTTGCAGAATCTTTTTATGCACTGCATTGAAACCAACCACAGGACAACAATGACCATTGGGCCAAGTCCATCCTGGACACTATGGGTGCCTAGAAGGTTAACCTCCAGAAGGGCTGATCTCAGACCCCTACACTGGGGCCATAACTCATTTGAACTCCTCATGTCGGTGAAACTCTGTGTGGTTTCCATTTGTGCCAGCAGCAGGGACACTTCATCAAAGGGGTTCACAGGATACCTTTTTCCCATCTTTGGGAAGTTTTATAATTATTTGTGTGCAAGCAAACTCATCCATTTGCCTGCATAGCTTATTGAACTTGAGAAAATGTAAGACATGCAACCAGCCACACTTTAAGCAGAGAGTGCTTTCTTTACTCAAGAAAGTTCCTTAACTGTTAATCCTGCTCCCTGGCATCCACCTGACAGCTTTCTGGTGCTGTGGTTTGGAAGCTGCATGCAATTTGGAAATATTAGAGCCCCATCTCTCAGTTAGCACAGAAGTCATCCATGACTGCCACTAAGACAGTGTGTTTGAGATTCAAGTGGGGCTTTCCCTTGACTGTAGGTTTCACTGCATAGACAAAGAGAATACACTTTGTGCACTCAATACTCGATACATCAGAATCGCCATTTGGGACACATGGATGAACATGTCTGTGACTTTCGATGATGTCAGAATTGATTGACTAACAATAAAATCCACAAGATATGGTGGCAGCAATTTATCACGTGGTCTTTCTTCTCATTAGGAAACAGGGTCTTTTATGGCACTCTTACTGCTTAGATCATATTATGTCAAAATGCATCTACATTTCTGTCTGTCTGTGTCACTATATATATTTGTCTTTTTAAAATTTATTCTTCTCTTGTATATTAAACCCTGATGACAGTTTTACTATATACATTTATAGTGAAATGGCTAATGAAAGGATTAATGAAGCCTTAGTAAAGTAATCAAGTGTAGCCACACTTCCAACTACTTTATTAGGTTCTTTTTACTACTTCCCTTCTCCACCCTTCCAACCCCCCAACACTAAGTAGGAGAGAAAGAAGGTTATAGGGGAAAGGGAGTATAGATCTCATTAGACTACTTCTGGCTGATTAAGGGCATCAACTTCTTTGGGGGCAAGTTTGACCTTTGTTATCAGGTTATCTTTAAGCAGCAACCAGCAATCCAGCAAACAGCAACAGCAGCAGCCTCGGTGCCTCTTGGGGCTCTGGCATTTATATACTCCCTGAAGAGTCCCCAGAATTCCAAATGTGACACAAATACAGAACTTATCTAGATGCAGCTGGTGAAATCACACAGCTTCCAGAGCATGAGACAAATCATAGCTACTATGGACAATCTGGAATAGCCTTATACCCCGCACCTGGGATTAAAGCAAGAACATATTCACATGACATTTCTGTGTTTTTAAGGAAACCAAAACTCCCACTGCAATCAAAAAAATTTCGAAGAAGCTTCACTGTGCGGCAGAAGGAGGTTGATAGGGATGTCAACATGTAGGAATGAGATAAAAAACCAGCTAAAGGTCTGTAAGAGAGTGGACTGTAGAGTGAAGGGTTGGGCTGGGCCCCTGGTGGATGCTGTAGGATGGATGGATGAGACCAGCTCCATTGGTCTCCACAGGCAGACCAATGAGTATATGGACAGTTTAAGTAAGCCACGTCCTTTGTTGGGAATAAGTCAAACTGGAGCTACTAGGATTTCAGTGAGCTCTCCGTGTGTTGGTGTCTTGATAACTCTTGATCATCTGATAACGTACATAGCGGTCAGACACCAGAGGTAGGCAGAGGCCATGGTAACTGCAATGTTAAGTGCCTTCTTCATTGTGGAGTGTAGGCACGATTTACACCCCCTTTCTTCAGTCTGATGTGTCTGGTAATTTCTTGGGCCTGGCTTTGCTGACACTGTTGCAATAGGCCCATGTGCTCCTACAGTCTTGATTTACTTTGGCAAGCATTTATGTTAGCACCGTTACTACCTTTAGGAGTAAGTAGTTTACCAGTCTGTGCTTTGTGCTTTCTGGACAGAGGGTGCTGGTTAGCAAGGTGAAGGTCATCCTCCCTCCATCCTTAAAACCCAGGAAAGTGATTCTTGTATAACAAAGTCTCTCTGTGGAGATCACAGTTTGGAAAAGCACTGTTCTCTACCGTGTGGAGGAACTGACCTAGGGCAGAGTGTAGCTTGATCCCAACAGTGCAAGCTACTCAAAATCAAACTGTTAATGAACTTTTATATCATGGGTCTCTGTACTATCATCCTTTCATTTCCTTGGGCTGAAAACCTGAGAGTAGATTTGCTGAGCCACAGGACAAATGTGTGTTTGACTTTTGAAGAAAATGGCAACCTCCTTCAAAATGACAACACTATCTTGTGTCTGGTCTGTGGGGCAAGTGGACCATGCCACCAGGGAAAGCGTCATGGAGCTAGAGCGAGGTTGAGATGTATCCAAACCTGGAAAATCTCAGTCTTGAGACCAGCAGGAGTAAGGACTACTCTCTTCCTGTTCTGTGCCTGCAGGCCTGGGCACAGGTAGTCTTGACCCCCCCACCACCTCTGCAATTCCCGAGGTCCTCATACAGCCTAGCACCTGGAATTCCTTTCCGTGCATATAAAGGACTTCCACCATGTGAACCCCAATGATATGTGCCCACCCTGAGAGTCCCTCTTTCACTCTCCAAAGTTCATATAGCTCTGTTCACCCTGAATAAAGTGCACAAGCAGTTCCACCGAGTGTCATCAGAGAGTTGCTGTGTCACTGGGAGAGCTCTAAGCTAAAAGGCTGTAACAGTTGAAGAGCTGTTTTGGAGAAGGCTTTCTTTCTTTGGGCATTCACTGACAGACTGAGACCCCCCCACACACACTAGGCTTTTGTTCCTTTGTCTGGTGTGTGCACACTCTGGTACCTGGATACCCCAAAGGGAAGAACTGGATCCTGAGCTGCTTTTGCCAAAACGAGCTATAACAAATAAAAACCGTCAGTTTTTATTTGCTCCTGCACCGCACTGTTCTCATCTGGAACTCTCCGCTTCAGGCTCTACTCTATCCTTCCCAGCCAGGTGTGGAGCTGTGCCTGGACACTCTGAGGGAGGTAGAGGAGCATGGAACCACGCTCTTTCAGCCAGGCATGAGCATGCCAGGGTCTGTGTGTCTTTGCCAGCAGTGGGTGTGAGGTAGTGGTGTCTTCTTGAAGATGATTCTGTGAATTTAATCTCTCCTACTGTATTGGTTTGGATTCACTGGAGAAACAGAACTTATAGAAGGAATCCAATCTCTACCTCTAATATCTATCATTTATTTATTTATTTATTTATCAATATTCTATTTATGTCTATCTATTTCTATATCTATATAAGGACTTATTAGAGTGGCTTACACACTGTGGTCCAATGTTCTTTTGATGGGGGAGGTGCTGAGAGAAAGAGAGAACATCTTCCCAGACCCAGCCTGGGACCACAAAGCACTTTGGAGGGGACACACTGAAGGGGTAGCACTTCTTGCTGATTGGTGGAGGTGGGCTCCATTCCACCTCCGTTCCATTCCAGTGGAAACACTCAGAAGCGCTAAGGAGGAACCCCTGCTGTGCCAGGCTGCAGATGCCTGTTAGGTTATTAGCAGCCGGACGTAAAGAACCACGGGCAGTTCTCAGATGGCACTAAAGTCTGTCTGAGGTTGAGCTTCACAAAGCTTTCTCTAAAAAGTCTGGCTGGGCTAGGGGGAGTGCTCAATCCTGTACATCTTGATGTATCCCTTTAGGGTTTTCTGTGATTCTGAAACTTCTACTTACATGCCTCAGTCTTCAGCTTTATCACAGGCTTGAGAGCCTGGATTGTCCTCAGTGTTCAAACCATCAGGGCCCCATTACATGTTTGTGAAGTGGATATAACTGACCGTGGACTTGTTTTCAGCAAGAGCTTGCCACCAATATAGCTACCGGATAAAGGCGGGATGGCTAGGGGGTGGGTACTTAAGAAGTACCACACAAAAACAAACAGAGAAACATTTAAATTAAATGAGATCATAAAATAGTGGGCTCATCATACACCTACAGAACATTTCATCCAAATACTTCAGAATATACATTTTCCTCAGCAGCACCTGGGATTTTCTATAGAGTAGTTATTATAATGTTAGGAGCCAACGCAAAATTTAACACATACAGAAAACCGAAATAATTATGTTTATTTGATCGCAGTGGAATAAAACTTCAAAAAAGTAAAAGAAACAACAGGATATGCACGATCTCATACGATTTAACAACATGCTGTTGAGTGATAAGTGTCATTCAAGAAATGAAGAAGAAAATTAATAATGTGAAAATGACCATCTTACCAAAAGCGATATACAGATTCAATGCAATTCCAATGCAAAATTCCGAGCTTAAGCCAGAATGTCCTCACAAAACTTTTGTTGAGTAGGTGAAGGGCTGTGAACCTGGTCTCTGTAGGAGCTGGCCATGAGAGTAAGGCAGTGTGGAGATGGAATGGAAGTGGGGAGAGGT